TTCAAGGGTAAACACGTTCGTGTTGCTAGCCCTTTAGAACATGTGTTTGCTTCAGGATCTGAGGAGGAGAAGGACTCTACAAGGCCTCAGAACTTAATTTCTTTGGAAGAAACTTCATGCATTTTGCATGTTTTCTCGTCTTTATACTGTTGTTTCCAATGTGAGTTTCATCTTTGAACTACAAACATATATATAGAGTCTTCTCTTCTTTCCTTTAATTTTTTTTTTTAAAATTTTTCTCAACTTTTCTCAAATCAAACACACTATAAAGCATAATCCAAACTCATTTATTGTAATTATTTGGGCTTATCTTTCGACTTTGCCCTATGTTATTACAAATAAAGATAAAATTGAAGTAAAAGTATAGTATATATCTTCTTTAGTCTGAAGAAAAAGGAGGAGAGGGAAAGGATGCTATTTTTCCTGCCTTTCCCTTTTCTTCTCTTGTTTCTATACATTAAAACATAAAAAAAAAAAAAATGTAATAATAAAATAAAGAAAAATGCCTCCCCTCTCCTAACTTCATTATCAAAGACTGAGAAAAGTTCTCTCTCCTTTCACCCCACCTCATCTCAAATAAAAAGTGATTAATGTTGTTTTAGTTGGATTAATTCGATTAAATTGCTTAATAAGACATTAGTAAATTTTACTATTCCAATCTTACCCTTATCTTAGAAAATATAGAAATGGATTATGAGGAAAAGATAAAAAAAGAAAAGTCTATTTTTTTGTTGTCAAGGAAAAGTTGGTCCTAGAGGAGCGAAGAATCAGCCAATCAGAGCTCCATACTGCAGATGAGGTTTTCTGCTTCTTTTAAAGTCCATAATCACTATAGTTTATGTATCTTGGTTCACATATTCCAATACGTTTTCTTTCTGAGTTACTCTGTTAAATATTAGGAAGGGCCTACTAAAAGAGAATTTCATAAAGCATCCGTCACGATGGCACATAAATTCAGGATTATGCTATCACGTAAATTCAAGATTATGTATACAGGCACGAAACAAACAGAATTGCGTTTCGAATTTGTATTTAAACATGGCCAAATCCCCTCAGAATGTACTTTCAGAAGACACTCGGTTTGATTATCTTTTCTTCTTGTTCTTGATGGATTAATGGTCAATTACAAAAGAGTAATTATCTATCTTATTGGTTGCATTTATTATTATTATTATTATTATTCTGTTATGAGTTTTAATGAGAAAGTCTGGCCTGCAGGTATGGACTACTGGAACGATGGGAGAACTCAGCCCTGTGAGCTCCCTTCTTTTCAAAATACTGAATTTGTGGCCATAATGGAATATATTAGAAGAACAACATTAGATATTCATGTTAATGTAAGTAATATTTAGTTGATGGAATGTCCTTCAACAAGTCGTGAAAATTGATGGGCGCATAATTGGGGAAGGGAAAGTGGGGCCTGTGACTCGGAGACTGCAAAATGCTTACAAAATGCTGACAGAAGAGTCGGGAGTGCCTTTACCATCCAATGAAGAAAGTTGAATGAGATCACTTAGATGTAGGTGAACTTTGTTTGGGCATCATTATGGTCAGAAGTAAAAGGATTAGAGCCATACAAATATTGATATTTTTTTTTTAAAAGTTAATTATGGTATTTGAAAGCTTTCATTACTTAACCTTTAATATATTAAGTAATAAATATTATCAATTTTGCTAATGATATATATAGTTTAGTGGTAATTTTCTTTTATTAGAAGTAAGAGATAAGATATCTTGATTTCTACTCACATGATAAGCAAGTAGGATGAGTTAAAGAATAAGAGAATGTTATTTCTTATTGTGCAATCTAAGATAATAAATAAATATATATATTTATCTATGATGAGGGATTCACTTACATATAAATATTATACATTATACTTATATTACATCTTGATCATTTATCTTTTTACTTTTAATAATTAAAATTTATCATAATTTTTTAGAGAAAAAAATAATTATTTTTAATAAATATACATGCTCGAGATGGGCTATGACCAACGTTTTTGGACTCGGCCTGGTGGTTGATCTGTTTTGTCCACTAGGTCCGGTTCAACCGGTTGAATTGATTCATCTGATTGGTCCAACTGGTCAACTAAAAAGGGGTAGATGGATAGATAGCGATGGTCCAAATGGATCTTCATCTTCTTCCATTAGAGATTCTACTCGGAATCCCATCAAAACTCTTGATCACCTCTTTGATGGACTTCAAGACCACTTCCCATGTCGGCTATGATTTAATCACCAATCACCTCCTTTTGTTTTGGTAAAAATAGAAGAAAAATTGAAAAGGTGAGTTGTAGCATTGGAGATAAGGCATATCTATTATGTTGTTGCTTCTGTTCGATGGAGGATTGCTTAACGAAGGGGACGATTTGTTCAATTGCTTTGTTGCTTCTATTCGGTGAAGGAAGGAAAGGAAGGTGAGTGGAGGAGGAGATGAGGCAGATTTGTTCTGTTGTTGCTTCTATTCCATGAAGGATTGTTTGATTTGTTTTGTTGCTTGGCTGCTTATGTTTGATGGAGGAAAGAGAGGAAGGTGAGTTGTGGAGCCGTTGATAGAGGTGGCTAAGAGTAGGGAGTTTGTTGGTCAACGAAGGTGGCTAAGGATTGGTGGTGATTGTTCGTCACTTCGTTTGCTTTGTTTCTACTTGTTCTGGTTTTTGCACAAATTAGTGTTATGGTTTTTAAACTTTTGTTATTTTATTTTGACTTGATCTCTTAATTTCTAATTTTAGTTTAAGGTTTATGGATAGATTGCATTAAAAATAAACAAAAAAAAAAAAAAAGAGATCACTCATATCAGAAATGGATTAATATAGCCGACAAGTTTGAGCAAGTTAAGCAAGTTCACCGGGTTGAGTGGGTTTGAATGAGTTAATTAAAACCAGTCAATTAGGAAAACAGGTTGAAGTATGCAACCGACCCATTTTCAAGCTCGGGTCTGATTGAATCGGTTCAGCTGGTCGGGTCGGGTCTTAAAACAATGGCTAGGACAAAGGACTCAAGAGGAGGGCGGAGCTTGCTGGTTCTTTCAATTAGTGATGAAGATCACTTCATACAATATTAGAGGTGTGAATAGTGTGGTAAAGAGGAAGGATGTATGAAGTATTATACAGAGGGAAAAGGCTGACATGGGTATTCAA